TATCTCAATATTTGATAATATGAAAGAAAGGGGGCAAAATCTGAGAGGAAATTTAGTTAGAAGCTCCTGTGGCAATCAGGAGGCAGCAGTTGAGTGGGGCGGGCACATGATTCATGGTGGCTGGGGGGAGCTGAGGTAATGACTCAGGGCAATGGATGGTTTCCCTCCTGTCAGGCAAGAGTTAAAATTTAGCTAACAGCTAAGACAGAAACCGCAGATCAAGCCGGAATGCTTCAGTAGCCCAAGGGCACTGACAACTGTAATCAACTGATAAACTTATATGGTCAAATGGCCGCGCAGTAACTCAGCTCTTAGAACAGAACAAACCCTCCCTTCACAGCCCACCAGATATCTGTAAGCACTCATCCCTACCTCCCCACAACACACACCTCTTTTCTCCGCAAGGTAGCCATAGATACTTGATGCAATCATGATGACCTCTATACATATGCACTATTCCTATTTTTATCTTTGTTCAGGGTTCTCTCTTGACTTGTAACAATGTCTGTCTCTGTATGTACAGATAAATGCAAATGAATTGATAAGAGAATGTATATAACTGGCCACTGTAGCACCATATTTTGGAAGCTGTTTATCAGTCTTCCTGGTATCATGAATAAACCCCCTTCAGTATTGTCTGTGCTTGCCTGATTCTTGGGGAAAAGAATCTTTTTGCCTAACACTCCCAAACAAAGACAAATTGCTGCAGTTAAAGACGGTAGGAACCCCCAAATCTGAGGGTGTTTTGAGGTCAATAACAGCCTTTGACAATGAAACAGAATAGGGCAAAGCCTGAGGAGATCTGATATTAATATTTGATAAATAGCACGAAGGGGTGAAATCTGAGGGGATTTTAGATCAATATTCAATAACGAGAGCGAGAGGGGGAAATCCAAGGGATTTGATCAGTGTGTGATAATTAGGGGGAGGAAAGGACGATAGCTGAGGGGATTTTCTGTCAATAGTCATGAACTAGACAGAAATGGTAAAATCTGAAGAGGAAATTAAGGTTCCTATCAATATTTGATAATTAGAGGGTAATAGGGTAAAATCCCAGGTGTTTTTATACCAATATTCAATAAATAACTAGAAATTGATTTCTTCTCACACCCCACCCCAGCTGCCTGAACAGGGACGGGGAAGTGGGGAGGGATCCGGAAGTTTCCGGGGCAGTTGAGAGGGCCAGCAGTGGGGGAGGGACAGGTAACTGGCAGCTAGTGGTTGGAGGGAGCTGGATTGGGCTGGGGGGGAGGGCGCAGTCTGGGGCAAAAATCTGTCAGCCTTTGGGTTAACTGACAACTTGGGGACACTGTTCCTCCAAATTGGAAGAGGTTCTTGGCCTTGGTGTTTACTAAATATGGGGCCAGCCACTTTTAATCAATAAAGATGATGATTTTTCATTGACATAACAGGGGTAGCAATTTGACTGTCAAACTTGGGGGGAAGTTAAATCTGGTGAGTTTAAACTCCCATCAGGAATAGTGACCCTGGGCAAGAGTTTCCCTCCAAAACCGGGAGAATGTGCTGCTCTTCAACAGGATGCGGCGGAGGGAATATAAAATCTAAGGGAATTTAATGTCGATATTTGGTAACTGGGGACAAAATAGGCAAAATACTGTGGTGATTGTTTTCTTCCTTTTATCAATATTAGGTTCCACTGTGGATAAATACTTAAATAGTCAGAGAGAGAAAGAGAGAGAATGACTCTATAGTTCAGTGGTTAGGGCATCCACCCAGAAGGTGGGAGAGCTATGGTCTAGTTCTCCGCCACAATGACTCTTTCATTATTTAGCCACAGTAGAATAGCTTCAACACCAGGGAAGCTCTAAAAGAAAGCTAATATTGTGCTAATATTTAAAAAGGGTAAACAGGAAGACCTGGGTAATTACAGGCCTGTCAGTCTGACATCCATTCCAAATCAGATAATGGAGCAGCTGATATGGGAATCGATTAATAAAGAATTAAAAGAGGGTAATGTAACTGATGCCAGTCAACATGGGTTTATGGAAAATAGATCCTGTCAAACTAATTTGAGATTTTTTTTTTATGAGATTACAAATTTGGTTGATACAGGTAAAAGTGCTGAAATAATATACTTAGACTTCTGTACAGCATTTGACTTAGTATCTCATGATGTTTTGATTAAAAAAACTAGAAAGATATAAAAATAATATGGCACACATTAAATGGATTAAGTGGCCAACCGATAGGTCTCAAAATGTAATTGTAAATGGGGAACCATCAACCAGTGGTTGTGTTGCTAGTGGGGTCCCACTGGCATTGGTTCTTGGCCCTACACTATTTAACATTTTTATCAGTGACCTGGAAGAAAACATAAAATCATTACTGATAAAGTTTGCAGATGACACACAAATTGGATAGGTCACTGATTCATTGTGATCTGGATCACTTGGTAAACTGGACATAGGCAAACAATATCTGTTCTGATACAGCTAAATGTATATGTATACATCTAGGAACAAAGAAAGTAGGCCCTACTTACCGGATCCTGGACTGGGCACTCTATCCTGGGAAGCAGTGACTTTGCCAGAGATTTGGGGGTTGTGGAAGATAATCAGATGAACATGCGCTCCCAATGCGATGCTGTGGCCAAAAGAGCTAATGCAATCCTTGGATGCATAAACAGGGGAATCTTGAGTAGGAAGTGAGAGATTATTTACTATTTGGCACTGGTGCAACTGCTGCTGGAATACTGTATCCCGTTCTGGGTGCCCATAATTCAGTGAGAGGAGGGATAGCTCAGTGGTTTGAGCAGTGGCCTGCTTAAACCCAGGGTTGTGAGTTCAATCCTTGAGAGGGCCATTTAGGGATCTGGGGCAAAAATCTGTCTGGGGATTGGTCCTGCTTTGAGCAGCAGGTTGGACTAGATGACCTCCTGAGGTCCCTTCTGACCCTGATATTCTATGATTCTAAGGAAGTTGATAAGGAGGACAGGCTCAGAGAGGAGCCATGAGAATAATTAAAGGTTTAGAAAACATGCCTTATAGTGATAGACTCCAGGAGCTCAATCCATTTAGCTAAACAAAGAGAAGTCTAGGGGTGATTTGATAACTCTCTATATGTGCCTTCATGGGGAATAAATAATTAATAATATGCTGTTCAGTGTAGCAGGCAAAGGTATAACAAGATCCAGAGGCTGGAAGTTGAAGCTAGAGAGATTCAGATTGGAAACATGGTGTAAATTTTGCTCTTTATGTTAATTAAAATCACCATGTTGGCTGAGGGGAGGGATTGGCCCTGAATCTGCTTCCCTGATGTGGCGTTTTCCTCTCATTTCGAACTGCACTAGCTTCCCCTTGTTTTGGAGGGAAATTTCCATCCAGGGCAGGCGCAGAGTGGGTTTAAACTCTCCAGTGATAAACTTTCCACTGCATGTTTTGGGAACCAAGTTGTTTCCCCTGTTATGTCAGTGAAAATGTACATGTTTGCTGATTAATGTGACTTGCCTCATTTAATAAATATCAAAGCCAGGAGCATCCCCCAATTGAGGGAACGGTGTCTCCCAGTGGCTAATGGGCAGTTGACCAGACACTGACTGATATTTAGTTCACCCCCACAGCCCAACCCAGCTCTCCCCAGCCATGAGGGGACAATCACCTGCCTTTCCCCGCTCCCAACTATCCCAGGACCGTTTGACTCCATTCCCCACTTATGCTAATGTGGCATCACCCAGGGCTCCCAGGTGCCTGTGTCAATGGCAGGGCCAAGGTGTCTGGAGGAAGAGAACCATCATATTGATAAAAAATATCCCCTGAGATTTGATTCCCCTCTTAATTTTGGAAACTTCTGGTTTTGGAGGGAAAATATTCTCTGGAGCTGTGTATATGTGTATGGCAGTGGTAGGGGGACCAGATGGGGTGAAACCCCATCCCTGATGATCAACTTTCCCCTCACATATGAAAATCAATGCTTTCCCCCCTTATGTCAATAAAATCAGATTTTAGTTGTTCACTAACCTTCCCTACGTTGGCAGTGTAAGATGCAAGATATTCTCTATTTTCATAGCCTTGTTGGGAGTTTGTAAATGGTGGGATAGGCCATGAAAATGTTGTGACTTGGCAACTTTAAGAACATAAGAATGGCCGTAGTGGGTCAGACCAAAGGTCCATATAGCCCAGTATCCTGTCTTTCGACAGTGCCCAATGCCAGGTGCCCCAGAGGGAATGAACACAACAGGTAATCATCAAGTGATCCATCCCCTGTTGCCCATTCCCAGCTTCTGGCAAACAGAGGCTAGGGACACCATCCCTGCCCATCCTGGTTAATAGACATTGATGGACCTATCCTCCATGAACTTATCTAGTTCTTTTTTGAACCCTGTTATAGACTTGGCCTTCACAACACCCCCTGGCAACCAGTTCCACAAGTTGACTGTGCGTTGTGTGAAAAAATACTTCTTTTTGTTTTTTTTAAACCTGCTGCCTATTAACTTTAACTGGTTAAACTATTTTATAATGTATTCCTTTGTCTTTTAAAGGAATTCAACATCTCTGGGGGGCAGCCACAAGGCAGGATGGAAACACAAGTCCAGAGAGTGGATTACTTGTCACTAGGGTAATGATCCCAAACAGAATTTGGATAAGAGATCCCTCCTTTATTTATTAATTGCTACTTGAGCTGTTTGAGCCTTCAAGTCTCCCACATGCCTACTCTGATTTCCCACAAACCTGCCAGAAAGATATCTGGCTTGTGAGATTTCAGGTGAGTTGCTTTACTTTTGCAGAGTGCAGGGTTCTATACCTGGCTTACAATGGAAGGCTGTAGTTTCAACTATAGCTATGGAGAGACCAGCATTGCTCAAGAATATACATTTGTTGACCGGATTCCTTCCTGTGCTGCCTTTCTGTCTCTAGTGGGGAGGGGAGGGAAGGACGTTTTGATTAGCTGTGGCCACCAGAGGGCTCTGGTTATTGTTAAGGGAGGGAGGCTGCTGCCTCCATTGCTTTTTCTGTCCAGAGCCTGATGATCAGAGGCTGAACTTCCTGGGTCACAGGATGCTGTTGCATCCCTTCGTAATTGGGATAGCGGGCTGAGGCGCTGCTGCTCCCCAGCGGGGTCTATGAGGAGAGAGACCCGCACTGACCCCCCCGTCTGTGCCCAGCCGGGGGGACTTTCTGCGGCAGCTGGAACCAGCCCCTGGGACAGCCCCGGGCTCTGCCGACACCAGCCCCTGAGCCGGAGCCTGCAGGTGAGGGGAGAGACCCCGGGGAAAGGGCTGGGGCCGGGCAGGAAAGTGACTCTGCACCAACGGCCCCTCCTCGCCTCAGCTCTGCTCCCGGGCGGCGGGGGTCTGCGAGTCCCAGAGCTGCTGCCCTCCCTGACACCCCCCAGGCTCTGCCCCCCTGAGCGCCTGCAGGAGCCGAGCCAGCTCCGGGAGAGCGAACGCCCCGGGCCGGGCCAGGGACCGAGTCTCCCAGCCCGAGGGGAGGGGAGGGGGCGGGAGGGAGACAGGGATAGAGACTGGCAGGGGCAGCAGGAGCAATCAGTGGGGAGGGAGGTTCACGGCTCCCAGTCCTGCCCAGCCCCATTCCCTGCAGCGCCCCGGGGCAGACTGACTTTCCTGGGGCGGAGCAGGGAGAGGAAAAGCCAGTTCCTGCCTCTGCCTGGTCCCGGCGCTGCTGGGGGGATGCACTGCCCTGGGGACAGTGTCAGGGAGACTCCCATAGGTCTATCTGCCCTGCATTGTAAACCCAGGTCTGTGGGACCCGAGTCTGCAGACTTGGTGTTCCTAGGCCCACGCTTTTGCGTCCGGACTGTATGGTGTACTGGGTTTACGATTTCTGGACCTGAGCTTCACAACCTTGCTGACCCAAGTCAAAACTTCTGATTCTGTGGGCATAACCCAGCCTGTGCCAGGATTCCTAGCATCCTCCCTAGCTGTTGCTGCTTTAGGCCTCGGCGCACTGTGGGAAAACTTGACTGTCCATTCTGTGGCACTTGACCCGAAGTTGCCTCAGCCTGCCAACACATCCAGACGCTTGCTAAGTCGTATTCACACTGCCTGCAACCAGCGTTAGTGTAACCCACACACCACCTTCGTGTGGTGTTCTGTCCCCTCTAGTGTCACTGAGACCACTTAGAGATTAATGAGTTTGCCATAGCCTTAGCTAAGGGCCATGTGGCTTTTAGCTCATGCAGTAGAGGCTCATGCATTTAGCTCCAGAGGTCCCAGGTTTGATCTTGCTCGCCAAGGACTGGGGTTTGTCGGTGTTACACTAGCAGCATAGGTGAAGCACTGTTGGAAGTTCTGTGGTCTGTATTACACAGGAGGTCAGGCTAGATCAGGGGTCGGCAACCTTTCAGAAGTCGTGTGCCGAGTCTTCATTTATTCACTCTAATTTAAGGTTTCGCGTGCCAGTAATACATTTTAATGCTTTTAGAAGGTCTCTTTCTATAAGTCTATAATATATAACTAAACTATAGTTGTATGTAAAGTAAATAAGGTTTTAAAAATGTTTAGGAAGCTTCATTTAACATTAAATTAAAATGCAGAGCCCCCCAGACCGGTGGCCAGGACCCGGGCAGCGTGAGTGCCACTGAAAATCAGCTTTTGTGCCGCCTTCGGCACGCGTGCCATAGGTTGCCTACCCCTGGGCTAGATGATCACAGTGGTCCTTTCTGGCCTTGGGATGTAGGAATCTATTGAACTGGTCCAGCTTGCACTTTTACTCCTGTTTCAGGAAAGAGGTGGAGCATCCCTGAGATACTGTGGACGTTGCAGTGGTGTTTTCTGACTTTCTGAAGACACCTCTCGGAAGGAGGTACAGACATTCCAGACTCCAACTGGCAGAAGCTGCTCATGACTTGCTGTTGCCACAGATTCTCCATGTAGACCTGTGCTTCTGAAGCAGGGCCATAAGTACAAACTGGTGGGACCACGTTGTCTTGCGGACCTGGGAAGACCAGGAGTGGCTCCAGAACTTTCTCATGGAGAAGCAGAGGTTCCTGGAGCTGTGTGATCAGCATCAGCTTGCCACAATCCTCTCATAGAATATCAGGGTTGGAAGGGACCTCAGGAGGTCATCTAGTCCAATCCCCTGCTCAAAGCAGGACCAATCCCCAGACAGATTTTTACCCCAGTTCTCTAAATGGCCCCCTCAAAGATTGAACTCACAACCCTGGGTTTAGTAGGCCAATGCTCAAACCACTGAGCTATCCCTCCGCCCCCCCCCCAAGGTCGCTTCACCTATGCTCTCGGGTCAGGACACACACATGAAGGAGGTCATGCTGGTCCAGAAGCAGGTGGCTATAGCCATCGGGATGGAAGTGGACTACTCCTGACTGCTACAAGTCCATGGCTAACCAGTTTGGTGTGGGTAAGTCAAAGGTCAAGGTGTGTGAGGCCATCAATGGGACTTCCCCCACCCGTAGTTTGCCCTCTTCAAGAACCACCTGAATACATAAACCACTAAGGTTACTACTCCATCATTGTGCAGGCCCTCGTCGACCACACATGCCTATTGATAGACGCTAATGTTGGCTGCCCTGGCAAAGGGCGTGATGCTGGGTTTTCCGCAGATCAGGACTTTATCTACAGACAGGCTGGGACAGTATTCCCACCAAATAACATTGTTGTTAATGGAGTAACTGTTCCCACTGTTATTCTAGGGCAGGTGTTCTCAATCTTTTTCTTTCTGAGCCCCCTCCCAACTCCACAGCTCACCTGTGCCACAACAACTGTTTTTCTGCTTATCCAGTAGATTAAAAGTCAGGGCCAGCATTAGGGGGTAGCAAGCATGGCAAATGCCTGGGGCCCCACGCCACAGGGGGCCTCACAAAGCTAAATTGCTTGGGCTTTGGTTTCAGCCCCAGGCGGCAGGGCTCGGGCTTAGGCTTCAGCCACTGACAACAGGCCTTGGGCATCAGCTTTCTGCCCTGGGCCCCAGCGAATCTAATGCCAGCCTGCTCTTTGGTTTATTTTGGCAGACCCCATGAAACCTGCTTGCGGCCCCTCAGGGGCCCCGGGCCCCTGGTTGAGAACAACTGTTCTAGGGGACCCTGCGTACCCTCTTTTGCCATGGCTTATTAAAATGTGCCCTGATCTCAGAGGGCCTGACAAATGATTTAATTACACCTTCAGTTTACTACCTATGGGTTTACAATCCTTTTAGGTAGTCCACTTTCTGGAGGACATAACAGTTCTGGAGATTCCTGAATGGCAAAGGGATCTTCTATTCCAAGATGCCTGAAGCAAGTCATCTAAATACTTGCTAAAGAGCTTTTCAGGCTTATAGTGACTGACCAGCACATATATGATTGGAGGGGGCTAGTGACCTTCAAAGGAGGCCCTAGAAAGTATGCCCTGCTGCAAAATGTGACCACCCATCTGGAGTTCCTGTACTGAGAAAAGTTTGCATCATGAGGATTGGTTGAAAATTCATGGGGAAATCAATAGGATGTTGTGTTTGCCTGCAGATGTATTGCAGCCTCCCTGGACGCTCCCTGAAATAATGCAGTGACCAAGGACAGTTTTGGCTTACAACACTGGCCCTGATCATACTTCTGTAACAAAGGATTACAAAGCACTCCCTCCACGGAACATTTATGGACTCATAGTACGGGACCTGTGGATTACATACAACCTCCTGGTTTATTTCAGGCAGTTCATATGGCACCCGAGGACTACATACTCCCCTTCCCCCCCCCCCCCCCCCCCCGCCCTCCCGTAACAGTCTTGAGTAATCGGTCAGGTGGCTCAGGATGGTCTGGTATGGCCAAGTCTCACGGTGCAGCATACTGTCGGGGAGGACAATGTAAGATTCTTAATTTTAACACCCCAACAAAACAATGTGCGCATGTCTAGTACAAATTTCACCATAGCTGCATGTTTAACTTTTCTTTTCCCTTATCGGTAGCCTTTTTGAATTTCACATGGTGGTAGGGGTGGGGGTAGGGCTGATGCCAAGGTACTGGTGTGCATTCTGCCAGCTTGTAGTAATAATTTAATTCGGTTGTAAGCTGGAAATCCATCCCATCTGTGTTTTAATAACAACAAATGTGGAGGCAGAAACTTAACGGGTTCTGGTGCTACTTCTACCTCTTCCACCCGTTCCGCTGCAGGCATGCTGAAACAGCTCCTCTGAGTATGGACCCAGGATGTGTTGCAGCTTTTCCAGCAGCAAAGCATCCCCAGGGACCTGCGTGAGCATCAGAGACACTTCCTGAGCTTGATCCAGAGGCTCCTGGCTCTCCTGGGGTGCTGCCTGTGACTCAGGAGATTGTCATGCACTGCTGTGGACTCAGGGCTTGCTGCAGTTCCCAGCACTAGGTTGAATTCCTTGTCTAAGAGGCAGGTAGACAGAAATGTGGTTGTCATCCCTGACTCCTAGAAGTCGGTCTTGAGCCACCGGATTCATTCTCTGCATTGAGCAATGGTCCGGTCAATCTCCAACATTGCCAGCTTCTCTGATATGTCCTGGTACACAAGATCATATCTGGTACTCTTGCTGAAGTCAAGCATCTCACTTGCCTCACACCAGAGCATAACCAGAATCTGGCTTTGTTCCTGTGACCAGCTAGCAATGCGCTTGGTGGAGACATGGCCTAGGATATCTTCTTACTGGTCGTAGCTAATGCAGGAGATGGTAATCTGTGCTTATAGTTCAGGAGTCAGAATAAAAGGGAAGGGTTAAATGCTGAGCAGCTGGATGTGAACCAAGTGGGGTTGCTTCTGGTTCCTGGGAGTCAAGTGGGTAGTGTTGGGTTAGAAGGGCTGAGAAATACTGGCCCATGAGATTTCAGGAAAGCGTTGGCAGACTTTCCAGACATGAGTCTGGTGACCTGGGCTTGACCTATGTCCAGACTGCAAAATGATAGCGCTTGAGTCCCAGTGGGACTTGGGCTCAGACCCAACATCTCTGGTGGGTCTTAGGACTCAGGTCCTGACGGCTTTCTGAGGACTCAGAAAGATTTGTGTGTGGACGGTAGGAGGGGTTTGGGCTCAAACCTGTGCCTGAATCTGGGTTTACAATGCCGCGTAGCTATACCCAAAGCAGCTCCTTAGATTCCATTCTTTTCTGGCATTTGGTTCAGAGACTCTATTACTGGGGAGTGCTTAAAAATGTTTTCGTGCATTTCATATTGGTGGGAGCAGCGGGATCTGCTCTATAATAAAGTGAACAAGCATTTTCCCAGTGTAGCAAAGTCTAGAGCATCTGTCTTCAAGAAAAGAGCATGGAGGGAATCGGGGTGTGAAAAGGCCTAAAGCCCCTTCAGAAACCTCCTCGGTCACCCTTCTCAACCCAACAGGCTGCAGAATAACACCCTTGTTTCACCCCAGATGGTCCCATCATCCCAGGGGACGGGAAAGGGAAATGTCTTCAGGGGAGCCAGCTCAGGCAGGGATTGTCAGGTAGCTGTTGGGGGGTGGGGAAGTGTTCATGGGGGGGCGGGATAGTAATAAAGACTTGTTGTGAATTGCTTAAAATGAGGCCTTTTCTTTTTAGGAACAAACTGTTTGGGAGGGTGGTGGGAATTCCCCGATCTCTGCATTCAGAAACTAGAGCCCTGAAGTGCCCATAGATGGATAGGCAGGGGCTTCTGGGAATAGTTTCTGATCCCAGAGAGGCAAAAATCCAGAGCCTAAAAATACAGCAATGAGCGTATCAGAAACAGCTGGATAGAATAACTGTCCAAGTAACTCCAGGGAAGTTCTCACAAACTCCTAGTCCTGCCCAAGCCCAAGCCCAGACACGGCCTCCCAGCTCCCAAGATAGACCAGACCAGAGAAACAGAAGTACCAAGACCTGAGGACGCAGCTGGATTCATTTGTCATTGCAAAGAGCATTGTAAAGGCACAGGCACTGTCTCATGATTCAGCTTTTCTGCTGACAGCAATTTGTGTATTATTGTTTTGGTTAATGGGCACAGAAAATTTGCCTTTGAGACAAATTAAATTAATGCCTCTTAAAGCCAGTGCCAGCAGCACCCAACGAGTGCCCATCCTCCATAAATGCCAGCCCCTTCCTCCTCAAAACCAGGTCAAAACCTCAACCCTGCAGAATCCTCTGAACAGACGTGGGCTATTTTGGACCCAGGTGGGATGAGGAGTAGATTCCAAAGTATGAGGGAGAACCAGCTGCCGTTCTCTGTGGTATGGAAGGATATGTGTCCAAAGGACAGATTCTGGGATGGAGGGTTCCCAGTGCATCTTTTTCTGTCACTGGCATAAGAGAAGGACTGTTTCTATTTATGGAATGCACAAAATTTGGCTGCAAAGTCTGTTCTTCCCAAATCCCCAAATTGCTGCTTATTGCTGATTGGACTGTCATCTTCTGGATATTTGGTGACGTCATTTCCCTTGCTGTAGGTCTGGGCAGTGATTGAGTCATGTCCTGCAGTGTCCGGAGATGCCAGAATCCCCTACAGGGGGTGCAACATGTCTCTCACTAGGAAACTTCCCCAAAGGGCCTCTATTATTGCTGAGGGGTAATGATGCAGTAGCTTCGTGACGCCGTGAAAAGTGTACTTTGTGTGCCGGTGCCTGCAGGTTCTGATCTGACAAAGAGGTGAATTTTCTCTGGAGAGGAAATGTGATCTAGGAAACTAGCCTGGCACTCTTGAGATTCAATGTCAATTTCCTACTCTGCTCCAGCTTCTATCTGTGATGCTGGGCAAAGTGCTTCCCAGGCCCCAGTTTGCCACCTGTAAAATGAGAATTTTTTTTATTTGCCTAGGAGTTGCTGTTGTGGAGCAGGACCCCACTGTGCTAGGCACTGTACAAACTGAACCAAAAGACAATTTCTGTCCCAAGGAGTTTGCAATCTAAGTAATAATAATAGCTCTTCCCTATCTCACATGGGTGCTTTGAGGGTAAATAGATTATAGATTATGAGGTGCTGAAATACTAGGGTGATGGTGGTCAGATAAGTGATGGAAATATCTAGAAAATAGCGATGAATATCAGATTGTCTACTCTTTGCAGTTGTTTTTCCTCTTTGTGATATGCCTGCAAACAGATAGCAGGATTCTCAGCTGTATTCAGAAGGATTACAGATTTCCTTCTTTATTCTTGGTTGGCAGGTCATTCAGATTGTGACTCTTACAACTGCATGTACCCTATACTCCAGGTTGTTGGTTTTTTTTTGCTGGTCCCCGCTTTGAAAGTATTTCAGGCTGTGACAACACGCCCCAACCCCCAGAAAAAAGTGATGGCAAATTACTGTACATACTCATAGGAGCACTAAGCGAAGCATGTAATCATTATCTCTGCAGTCAAAAGCACTGAAACCTTTCAAAAAGTGTAAAGCAACTGTATGGTAGTGCCACCCTCACTTCTGCACTGCTTCAGAGCTGGGTAGCTGGAGAGCGGCGGCTGCTATATTCCCCCCTCCCGCTCCACTTCTTCTTTCCTCCATCCTCTATTTGGGAACTTGAAATATGGTAACCCTAGCAAAGGATCTAAAGCAGAGGTTCCCAAAGTGGGCGATACCGCCCCCTGGGGGGCACTGGAACGATCCAGGGGGGCAGTAGTAGCCTCGGGTGCAATTGGGGGGCGTTGAATAAAAATAAGGGGGCGGTGGAAGCATAAAGAAAGAAGAGAATATAAGAAAATTTTGAAAAACCGTTCGTACATGTTTCATCTGTTGTGTAACATAGAGTTAAAGTTGTAGTGATTACTTTATTTTCCAAATAAATTCACAAATTATAACCGATCAGGTGTCAAGTCCGCCAACAGCTCTTAACAAGCAAGTGTTGGCAGGCGAGCGTGTCGCGCATTGTCGGGAAGTCCAGCATGCATCGGCAGGAATACGTGCGTGTAATGACTTGTTTACAATACGATACTATAAATAGGCGACATGTATGAAATCTAATTTAGATTGTTCCTGAATTGTGTAAAAAGCAGTTAACAATAGTGCAATAAGTATTTAAAATTTTTTATTCATATTCGATACCTTCGATCTTTACGGATTACGGATCACATACAAAGCAAATTGTATTATTGTTGTTTCAATAAAACAGCAATTTACACGTGAGTATTTTTATACATTTTCTTACATATCTACCGTACGTTTCTGTGTCTCTAGTGCTTAATAATAATAAAATTGTAGCAGGCTTGTGTCGGTACAGTACTATTTGAAGTGTACAGTCAATATATTTGTCATATTTTTTATTACAATATTAACGAAAACAGGAGAATGAAATCGTAAAAAAACTGTTAACTATTAACATTTATTTATATCTATCGAATCATCTGTGTTAATTGGTAAATAAGGCGTGTGTTAATAAGAAACAATTATTTAAATAAGGGCAAACTAAATTAAAACTATTAACTGATTTTTAATTGCATATTGATTATTTTTTAAATTAATTATTTCTTGATAAATTTAGTTTGATATTTGACAATTTAATATCAAATACATATATCTAATGCTGAGCAAAGAACAAAACCCAGTTTATTAGTTTCATTAGTATTTTAGTTTGGTTGTCTTTTGCCGTCTTATGCAAAAACCACTGTTTACCTGATGTCGTGGGCGATATTCTAATAACACATCTTTCTTTACTATATTGTAGGATGTAGGTAGAAATATAGATACATAAAAGAACGCAAATTTGTCACTGCATCTTTCTGTTTGTTCGCTTAAAGAAGGTAGATTTCCAGGGGGGCGCTGAGTAATTTTTTTTTCTGAAAAGGGGGGCGCTGAGTAATTTTTTTTCTGAAAAGGGGGCGGTAGGCCAAATAAGTTTGGGAATCTCTGATCTAAAGGTTATCACAATATTTTTTGTGATCTCACGACTCCCCTACGATAGCTTTGTGATCCCCTTTTGGGTTGGGACACGCTGCTATACTCCTTTTGTAACTCAGTTGTGCAGCTAATGTGAGATGCCCCATTCTCAAAGTAAGAAACTGGGTGTAAAATCCTGGAACATTCTTTGTTGGAAAGACACAAAGAATGTGTAACAGACCCTGATCTCACATATTTTCCTTCCCTCTGCAGGATTTCTGATTCACCATCTGTGATCTCCTGGATGGAACGAGGCAATGAGCTGTGGGTCCCAGATCTCCAAGGATTTGAGGGACAGGAGATCCCAGGAGGCACGTGCACCAGTGGGGAACTCATCCAAGCAACTCAGAAGCCCTCAGGTACGTGAATTAAAAAGCTAGGATTCCTGCCAAAGCCCCGGAATTCCCCCAGTTCTGCCTGATATCACCCCAGCTCTCCAGCAAGTATTGTATCCTCCTGGCAGACACCGTTCATGGCTTCCTACTCACCCTTGTCAGTAAGCTCCCTCCCTTCCCCCTTCCTTTCTCTGGGGGTTCAGATAGGCTGAATTGGCAGGATTGGCGCCTCTTCTCTCTCCTCTGGGTGAGTTGGAAGGTTTGGGGGGGATTTGACTCCTGTTTTTCATCCCTCATGATTATTTCACTCCCTTTGCAGTTTCCGTTCCTGAGACTCTTGTTCTCCCTGTCAGAGGCAAGGACTCGTGTCCAGATTCTCTCCATTTATTGCAGCTGCAGAGGGGATGGTGAATGAGGATGTGGAGGACAGTCCCCAGCAGAACGTCCCTAAGGAGCTGGGGCTGCAGGGGCCTGGCCAGGGAGAAGGTTGTGGGACTGACAGCAGCTCAGAAAGGCAGCAGAGAAATTGCTCAGGAAAGAAAAAGGTTCAGTCCCTTTCATGTGACAAAGGGTTCAAGGGTGAGAATGTCCCCCAGAGCTACCCAACTGGAGAGAATATATGCTTATATACAGAGTGTGGGGAAGGCTGTGGTCTGCACTCAGGCCTGGGACAACGTCAGACAGCCCAGCGGGGAGACAAACCTCATAAATGTGCCGAGTGTGGGAAACGCTTTTGTGGGAGCTCGAACCTGATTACGCATCAGAGAATCCACACGGGAGAAAAACCCTATCACTGCCCCAACTGCGGGAAAAGCTTCAGCGTGAAATCAAACCTCACGACCCATCAGAGAATCCACACGGGAGAGAAACCCTATAAGTGCCCTCACTGTGATAAAAAGTTCAGCCAGAGCTCAGACCTCACTAAACACCAGCGAATCCACACGGGGGAGAGACCCTACGGATGTGATGCATGCGGGAAAAGCTTCAGTCGGAGCTCGCGGCTCCTGACACACCAGAGAGTCCACACGGGAGTGAAACCTTATAAATGCCCTGAGTGTGGAAAAAGCTTCCGCGTGAGCTCCCATCTCACTAAGCATCGACGGACCCACACGGGAGAGAGGCCTTATCCGTGCTCGGAATGCGGGAAGAGCTTCAGCCAGAGCTCAGACCTCACTGCCCACCAGAGGACCCACACGGGGCAGAGACCCTACGGATGCCCTGACTGCGGGAAAAGCTTCCGCCAGAGCTCACACCTCGTTAGACACCAGAGAACCCACATGGGCGAGAGGCCCTTCAGATGCACTGAGTGCGGGAAAAGCTTCAGCGTGAGCTCAGAGCTCCTCGCCCACCAGAGAACTCACACGGGCGAGAGGCCCTTCACCTGCCCCAACTGTGGGGAGAGCTTCGGCCGGAGCTCCACGCTGGTCCTACACCAGAGAATCCACAGCCAGGAAAAGCCTTACAAATGCCCTGACTGCGGTAAAGGCTTTGGCCGTAGGTCACTCCTCATCCTGCACCAGAGGATCCACCTGGGGGACAGACCCTACAGCTGTGGGGACTGCGGGGAGAGCTTTATTGATGGCTCCAACTTTGTGAAACACCAGAGAGCCCATGTGGGAGAGAAGCCCTACAAATGTCCCGAGTGCAGAAAAGGCTTTGTGCGCAGCTCGGATCTCATTAAACACCAGAGGATCCACGCTGGGCACAAGCCGTTCACATGCACTGAGTGCGGGAAGAGTTTCAGCGAGAGCTCCAACCTGCACAGGCACCGGAGGGCCCACACGGGGGACCGGCCCTACAAGTGCTCCAACTGTGGGAAGACCTTCGGCCAGAGCTCTGACCTCATCAAACACCAACGCACGCACATGGGTGACCGGCCCTACAAATGCACCGACTGCGGGAAAAGCTTCAGGCAGAGCTCAGACCTGGGCAAACACCAGAGGATCCACAATGGAGAGAAGCCCTACAAATGCCCGGACTGTGGGAAAAGCTTTAGCGTGAGCTCGAGCCTTGCCTCACACCAGAGAATCCACGCCGCAGCGAAGCCCTATGAGTGCCCTGAGTGTGGGCAAAGCTTCAGTGTGAGATCCACCCTGTCTACGCACCAGAGGATCCACAGCGGAGAGAAGCCCTTCAAGTGCTCCGATTGTGGGAAAGGCTTCGGCCGCAGCTCCAACCTGGTCAGGCACCAGCGGATCCACACCGGAGACAGACCGTATCGGTGCTGGGACTGTGGGAAAAGCTTCACTCAGAGCTCAACCCTTAATAGACACCGGAGAGTCCACATGGGAGAGCGGCCTCTCCTGCCTGCTGCATCAGAGTGATGGACAAAGCCAATGATATCTTGGCCAGCTGGCCAGAGGGTTATTGGTACTCAGTGCCTGGCCATACACCCCTCATGGCTGTGCTCCTGGGCTGGTGTGACTACGAATGATGATATTATTATCCATATAAATGTCTAGCCTTTTCCTGAATCCTAGTACACATTCCTCACCTCAGTACTTTCTTGGGTCTTTTCCTGGAGGCCTGAGTTCCCTCATGCCAGCTGAGGCCTTGTCTACACAGGAAAGTTAAGGTGTAAATTTAAACTGATCTAGTTATCCCTGTTTAACCCCCCCAGCCCCACGTGGAAGCTTTTATTCCGATATAAGAGTGGCCTTTTTCCAGTTTAGTTGACAACATTTAGCCACAGGAATTAAGCAAACTGAATACAGCACTCTTATGCTGGTATAACTGGTAAAACTTTCCCCACACAGAGAAGTCCTGGGGCTCTCTGGTTTCTGGAACTTTGTGGAGTAAGTCCCTCCTCCCCCCTTTGTGTTCAAACAGTGGAAATGCATGGATGTCTTCTCAGTGATCTCACAGGCTTCTTCAGGTCAGTTCAAAACTTAACCCCTTCCTTTCTGCTTTCTCAAACATCAGCATTAGCTAGCCAGTGGTGGAAATGTCTCAGACTTGGCTGAGTTCATCACTGTACAGCAGCATCAGCCACTTTCGGTGGTGGAAACAGTGCTGGGGACGGTTCAGTGGTCCACGTTTGTTGGGGGGGGGCGGGAGGAAGTTGATAGAAAGTGAGCTGAAAGGGGCTGTTCAGATAAAATACCCACAACAAACACTGAAAAAGGATCTAGATTCTACTCTCAGTGATGCTAGGGTGAATACTGAGTGGCCCCACCAGACTCAGTGGAGTCACTCTGGATCAACCCTGGTGTAGGATAGAGTGGAATCTGGCCAGATGGGGTACATCTACAAAGTGGGAAAAATAAAACCCATGGCGGTGAGTTTACGAGCCCAGGTCTATAGACTCAGGCTTGCAGGGCTCACACTAGGAAGCTAAAAATAGCTGTGTCGATGTTCTGGCTTGGGCTGGAGCTTGAGCTCTGAAACCCAGCCTGAGCTGGAAAGTCCACATGGTAGTATGAGCCCCGCAAGCCCCAGTCTGTAGACCCAGGCTCTGAGACTCACTGGGATATTTTTGCTGTGTAGACATACCCATGGCGTTTAATGGTTTATTATCTCCTCTTACTCTCTGCCAAGAACTGTGTTGTTACAGTGGGAGGATGTGTACTCCACAAATGTGTGTTTCCCCACTGGTTCCTATAAGGCTTCCTGTATTAGTGGTGTTGCTTTCTGGGCAGATTCAGTGAGCCAGGAAATACAGCAGCATTTTACCAGAGGAATGTTTTTTTTTAGTGGAAATTAAAATATATTTCTGTGCAGAATGTCTTGCCCCAAATCAAGCCGGCAGTCTGGGGGACATCAGCAAGCCGCTGGAGATGCATTTGCCATAATCCCCAATATCAGTTATTTCACCTCAGTGCTGCTTTGACACTTGTCGTTTTGTTAAACGTCCTTTTTCTTTGAGTGCATTTGTCAGAGTCCTGGTGTGGATGCTGGTTTTGCTCACTGTTCATGGAGGCATGGTCCTCAGCTGCTACGTATCAACATAGAGCTATGCTGATTTATACCAGCTGAGGTTCTGGCCCAAAGAGAGTAATGTTGTTACTCTGGGATGTTTTAAAGAAGCTTAAAAAAATATAAAAATGTTCTATGAGGTCACATCCAAGGTACCAATGCAGCATTGTTCTCTACTGTATATTTATAAAACATCAATGCAAGAGATGTCCTCTGTGTGTCATGGATCCACAAGGTCTGGTTTATGTCCCAGCCTGTAACCCTGGGGAGTGACCTCGATAGACTGCCAGGTCCCAAGGAGCCACACAATTCCACAGGGTGCGGCCCATGGCCTCCAAGACTGGGCTGGTGGCACCAGCGATCCCGGTCTCTCTCCATGGCTCCCTGTAGCAAGTCCAGCAGAGCCAGTCTCCTGTGAGAGGCTTATCCTGTACTCCTCCAGAGCGCAATGTTTCCTGTAAAGTATTTGCAGCGACACCAGGAAGCCTTTTCAAAACAAGGTAACAATTTATTAGTCAGCTGGCTCACAGAATCTGAAAGTCCTTAGGTTAGCATAGAAAGGAAAAGAGGTGAAGACAGAATTCGGTCTGGCCTACGTCAGGGGCATCCTAGCTCTTAACACAGCCACCTGGCACTTTTCCCCTCCAAAGCTTGTCTCTTTCACCAACAGAAGTTGGTCTCTCTACTACCTCTCCTCTTTCTTCTCCAGCTGGGAGACCACCTCTCTGCAGGGAAGCCAAGCAGTGTGGGAAATTTCCTTCCTCTTGGCTGTTGGTTGCTAGGTGTTACTGTCCCTGCCACTGGGGTTTCCATAGTCTCTTCCGATCCACCATTCACATGTGTAGACTTTATTTAGTTTGTTAATGATTCTGGTTTCCAGCCAGCCTGCTGAGTTAACAGCTCATCCCTTTGCTTTACACTCAGGGCTTGTTTACATTTAAAACGCTGCCCTGTGGCTTGCACCACTGTAGTGCTTCAGTGAAGACACTACCTATGCTGACGACAGGGCTTCTCCCATCAGTGTAGGTATGCTTCCTCCCTGAGAGGCAGTAGCTAGGTGGATGGGAGAATTCTGTTGACCTAGCACTGTTTACACACTGGGGGTTGGGTCGGTTTAACTCTGTCGTTCACAGGTGTAGATTTTCACACACTCCACGGCTACCCCTCTGATACTTAGTAATGTAGTTATACCATGGCAATGCAAAGCCCAGAGGGAAACCGAGGCACACACAGGCATCATAAAAATACTACCAAAGCCCCCACATTCATCATATTACAGAAGTCATGTACAGAAGAGCATGCCCTTTCCCTAACCCCACAGTAAACCCTACTTAGAGAATGTACTACAGATGGCATGTAAGAGCACAGAGTAAGAGTAAAAAATTGCTGGCCTATATAGACTGCCAAAATTCACACCTCACTGAGCTTCATAGTTAGTTGTCCTGTTCCCTGAATTACATCGAAGGAAGGCTGCACAGTTGGGTGAAAGGAAAACATACAGTGGATGGATTCTATTAAAATGAGTGAACTACACCCCAAAGGGAGCAGAGAAGTTGCATAAAAAACCAAAGGCCAACATTTTCAGACTTAGACTCAGCGTTTGTAAAGCCATTCAGGTGCTTAAACTTAAGAGTGGGTTTGCTTTTTACCCTTTTGCTGAATAGATTTTGGGAGGAACTTTATTTTCCAGCCCAGAGGCTTGCCTCCCCTGGCTCCATGCAGCCTAGTTGAGCTGTGTGCCTGGATACGGTCCTTAATTTCACCCCCTTTTTTTACTTGCATGCCTGACTGCTCTTTCCCCTCTGAGACTGTGTTCTCTCTTCCAGGCTCGTTCTACTTTTTAAAGCTTTGTTTAACTTATTTTGCAACTTTCTACCAACTTCCTCTCCTCTCCCCTCCTCCACCTACCCTTTCAAACCAGAGCGTAGGAATCCCTTATCCAAGGCTAGGTCTCTAACAGGGGCCTTTTATCTTCTGTGGGGATTTTTAGCAAATGACCTTGTCCTGTCCATGGACAGCTCGTTCTTGTCATAAGGGGCTCCCTTTGACTCCCTACAAAGTCCCAGGATAAAGTAATTTGAGCCAATTTGGCTAAAATTAAAGTTAAAAATTAAAAATAAAGGGTTAAGGAACCATTTATTCACCTGTTCTGTGCACATACTCCTACCTACAGCATCCTGCCACCCAAGCCATGTGTTAATCACGCAACAGGAAGTAGGAGACAGGCTGGTGGCAGGTTTGGATGGTACTTGAAAATGGCCAAATGAAAATAAAGAACTTGAAAACAAAATTGTTTCAACTTGACAGAAACATTTTGGTTGACTCAAAACTAAATGAAAAACCAAACCAAAGATTTCTAGTCAATCAAAATGTTTTGGAAGATTTGAAACAAAATGTGTTTGAGTTTCTCACTTTGATGAAAACCGAAAAATCCATTATGCACTCACCTCTGCTCTCTGCTACTGCTTAATTCTATTACTAAATGAAATACTGATAGGAAGGGGAAAGTGGTAACAGGAGGATCTGAAGTTTATACCTTTTTGGATAAAATCTGACAGAGCTTTTCTCACCAGCTGAACCTACTTTTATAGACTACCATGAAGTCATGGGAATGTTGAGAGAGATTATCATTTCAACGAAATAATTTTTGAAGCACAAATACCTGAAAGAAGGATTCCCCACAGCCTGTGGCTAGAGCCTTCAATAAAAAATTAAATTCACTAAAATTAGCAAAGATTTTGAGGGTGCCAATCCCTAAAAGACCTACATGGATAATTTCAGGAGGTTTCACATGACTCACAAGGAAGAGGGTTCTATACAAAAGTTCTTACAAATATACACAGTCCAAGTTTTTTTAAAAACCTGCCATGTCTGATGGAGCAAACATGTCTCTGTCCTTGAGCAGATCTAATCATCACTGTGGAATTTGAGGGGAGCCCAAAGGGGAGCAGTAATGAGGTTAGATTTTAAAATGAAGATTTGATGGCCTATTCCTACCCACCCTCACTTTTCACCTCTCCCTGTGATGTCCTTAACTGCCCTGTGATAGCCTAGTCTACACTACAAAGTTAGGTCGACATAACTCCATCTCCCTCCCTCCATTTCATTATGATTCACCCCTTCCCTTTGTTGCAATGTCACCTCCAGAGAGACAAAGGGGAACCCAAAACTGACCATTTCATGGTTCCCCTGAAACTGCTCTTTCCTGGGCATTAAAAACAGGGGAGCAGATTCCCAAGGGCTGTGAGGCCTCTGACTCCCAGGGCCGAGCATCACTTTCCTGCCCTTCCCCAGCATTTTCTCTTTCAATCACACGGAGGCTCTGCCTCAGGAGCTGATGTCAGCTAAGCCTGGAGCTGCGTTTGCAGGCTAGTTCCAGCCACCAGAGAAACTCAGGCTGGCACAGAGGCAGGTTTAATGAAGGTCTGTCCATGGCCCAGATCCCACTTGGGAAGCAGCAGGTCCAAATTCTGGATATTGTTGCTATTACTGTCTGCACGTGACCAGGGCCGGCTCCAGGGTTTTTGCTGCCCCAAGCAGCAAAAAACAAACAAACTGCGATCGCGATCTGCGGCACCTCTACCACCGCTGCTTCAGTCTTCGGCGGCAATTCGGCGGCAGGTCCTTCACTCCGAGAGGGAGTGAGGGACCCGCCGCCGAATTGCCGCCAAAGAGCTGGACATGCCGCCCCTCTCCGTTGGCCGCCCCAAGCACCTGCTTGCTGGGCTGGTGCCTGGAGCCGGCCCTGCATGTGACCCAGGAAGCTCAGCCGGTGATACGGGAGTGGAGGGAACAAGACACCCCCCTTCCCAATAGCAATTACCAGAGCCACTAGTGCTTGGAGCTAATTAACCTCACCCCCCACCCCTCCCCAACCTCACTGTATTCAGATAGAGTTGTGTGATGGCCAAACTGAAAAAAATTGTTCGTTGCAGACTGAAAGTGACTTTTCCCTCACCAAAAAAAAACAAACAAAAACACTTTGAAATAAAATGTGGATTCAAATCATTGACATTGCTGAAATTTTTGTTTTGTTTTCAGCCAAACTATTTCCAAAATCAACTTGAATTCTTAAGTAGTTTCAATACCCCCCAAAACACATTTTTGGTCAATTTACTATTCACTGCAAAAAATAAAAAAATCACTCAGCTCCAACCAACTACCCATAAAGCAAAGAAATCCACTTTTGAAAAATTGTTTGTGCATCAGACATAAACAGATACAAGCATCTCCTAAACCTGAGGTGTGACCAACTTCCAGATGAAATTTCTGTGGGGCAGCAGAAGAAAGAGAGACTTCAGCTTGGAATCACTAAAGGCCAAATCCTGAGAGCAAGGGACCTTTGCTGAGAAGGGAACTCAAAATTTACATCGCCAGTAGGCCACTTCAGTCTTGAGTGGTATCCCCCCTTCCCCATGCCTAATAGTTTGTAAATTGCATATCAGGGCAGGGGACATGCTCTGGCAATGAGATCTGGGGAACAGTCTCCACAGTGGAAAGAGTGGGAAGCTATTTGGATTTTAGCACAGTCAGTTGAAGGTTTTGGAACTAATGTGTAGGCACAAGCGACCTGATTTTTTGGAGAGGGTGTGGGATGGGTGGTATTTCAAGTTGCAGTTCCCCAACCCAGCAACACTAGTACAAGCCAGTTGCCCCACCCTCATACACAATATCCACAGGGGTTGATAAGCACATTTTAAATGTTTATTTGCAGTCATAAGGGCTGGACATCTTTTTCTTTAAAAAACCTGAAGATTATTTATTTGTATCACCATAATGCATAGGAGCAGCCCTACATTTAGGTTCTGGAACATGATTCTGCAGCAAGGGGTGAGAGATGAATTCGGCTGTTAACGCCACAGCCACAAAATTGCAGACAACCTCTAGAAAATACCCACTTTGCTGAGAGAAACAAACAGGATGGGAACAAATGGACATTTTCCATTTCTAACTTTGCTTATTCTATTATACTCCAATTCAAATTAAGTAAACTGGGAATTTATAATTCAGTAACTGCAATTTCAATGTGGATACCTTATCAGTACTGCTAACTCATACAAGGTGCAGATTAACTCCT